CCACAGCCTCTCCAACATTTGTTGTTGGTTGATTTCTTTATGATAGCCATTCTTTCTGGGGTGAGATGATATGTCAATGTTGTTTTAATTTGCATTTCACAGATGGCTAGTGATGTGGAGCATTTTTTCATATATTTATTCGTTTCTTTAATTTCATCCTCTGAGAAGTGTGTGAAAACCAAGAAATATTTTAAGAATCATTACTATCTGAAAGTGAGTCAACAAATTTTGACTTTTAGAATCCAACTATTGACAATATATAAAATTTCTAGGTTAACAGTTAACAAAGTTAACAAAAAATGGCTTGTTATTAAAGTGAAAACTGCTACATTTGTCTATTTGACCTATTCTTCTCCATTGCTCTATGGACTAACAGGGAAAATTGGAATTTCCCTATTTTTCCCCTTTTTGTGGTACTGGGGAAACCCAGGGCCTTTTGTGCGCAAGGCAAGAGTTCTTGCACTGATCCAAATCACCAGCACTAGGGGAAAAAATTCTAACTTGTTAAATAAAAACAAGAAAACTGGATTTGAAATACTACTCTTTATTAACTAGATATCCACAATTTCTGAATTATTGGATTATACATACATTCAAGTAAATGTGTCACAGAGTTGATCTATAAAGTAGAAAAATGTGCTTTAGAACTAAAAAAGAGAAAAAATAGTATCTGACTCGAGCACATAGGGACAGTTTGGTTTTAATCAAGTTACTTACATCTCCTCTCAACTTCTATAAAAACAAAAAAGAATAGTATTCACCTTGAAGAACTCTTTTGAATTAAGTAAAACAATACATTTCAAAACATGTAGCATGAGCTTGATAAAACTCAGACTGAATATAACTAGATATTACCTCCTTCTCATAGACCTACACAATAAAGTGCTTCTGGAAAAAAGCACACATTTTGAAAACCTCTTATTCTTCAACAATTTTCTAATGGAAGAAATAAGATTCACACACACGCATACACGCACACGCATGCTCCTACACACAGATTCATACTTCATATAACAATGTTACAATCAACAAAGGAACATATATATTGTGTTAGTCCCATACAATTCAATGGAGTTGACATAATATTATCAGTTTAGCATATTCTTGGTGATGTTTCCTTGGATGGGGTAGTTACATAATTGTAGCATAGTGCTCACTTTGGCAGTACATAAACTAAAATTGAAACAATACAGACAAGATTAGCATGGCCTCTATGGAAGGATGACACGCAAATAAGAGTAGCATATGAAACTGTATACAGTACCTGACTAGTGATGATCATTTTAGAATATGCGCTGCTAAAGTGAGCACGATTGGTGTTAACCAAATAAACATCTGTGTTACTGTTTATATATTTCAATGTTAGAGTTTTTCTTTATACTTAAGAAGAAAATTTACCTTTGAGACATTTATTTAAGGACTAAATGAACCAGATAAAATTTTTTAGAGATTTATATCATCAGTTTTATACTTGCTTTCAAATCTAATGTTGTCACTTATTTTTCAAGAAAAGGCTTACTCAACTACTTATTGTTTAATTCAATTCAGTAGCACATCTTAAGAGTGCAAAGATATAACTACTATCTTTTCAAGGAATTTTTTAGCTTATAGAAAAGACAAATACATAACAATTACAATATAGAGGGCGTGGGAATATAGTTCAGTGGCATAAGTGCTTGCCTGGCAAGCGCAAGGTCCTGAGTTCAATCTCTGATACTGGAAAAAAAAATTACAGCATAGCATTCTGACACCTTAATAGAAGTTTAAAAAAAACAGTTCACTGGAGAAGGAAGGCCATGTAAAGGAAAGAAGCATTCCAGAGATTCCTAATTAAAGAGATAGCAACTTTCTTTCCTAGAAGCAGAGAATCATTTCTTAGGATATTTTAAGAAGTAGTGTTTTTTATGCTGGGCAAGGTGTCATACAACTGTAATCCCAGAAAACTGGAGGATGAGGCAGAAAGATTTTCCACATGTTAGCGGCCAAACTGGATTACACAGAGAGTTAAAGATCAGCCTGAGCTACATGGTGAGACCCTCTTTCCAAAACTGTTTAACTCTAAATTCTACTTATTTAAAATAAGTGATAGAATCACATGATGGGAAATTCAAAACACAAAGACATTTAGTAAGATACTGCCCTCCTTACTCCATCTTTATTTGTTTCATTTACTTCTCAGTGGGCCACTGGCCACCCAGGGCCCCTCTGCAGAAGTAGATGATGTCATCGGTGCCATACACAGTCTCCAGACACATTTAATGCATCATAAGCAAGTGTGAATATGTATTTTTCCTTTTTTACAAATATTTTGCTAATTCAATGAATTTGTTTGTCTTTGAGGTGAGGTCTCATTATGTAGCCCAAACTGTCCTAGATTTTGCTATGTTGGTCAGGTGGCCTCAAACTTAAGATCCTCCTAGCTCAGTCTCCCAAGATCTGGGATGCCAGTGACTTTTAAATATTTAACAATTAGAGGATAGAGAGCCCCATGCTCTAGTTTGGCTTAAAATCTTTCTATCTTAGTCTAGCAAGCCAGTCCATTCATAGCTCCTGCTCTGGCAGCATGCATCACCATTCTTTAATTCAACAAATATCTATTGAGTATCAGGTACTGTTCTAAGCAAAGAGACACAGCCGTGAATAAAACTGACAGTTCTTCTGTTCTCAGGAAACCTGTTAGTGCAAAATCTCTCCATCAATCTCTAGTAAAGGGAAAGACCAACACACAAAATAATTATATTAGAAAGTCACACATGCTAAGAAAAAAAAAAAAGATGTAAGCAAGGAAAATAGAATGTGCTAAAAATAGACAGGAAAGAATCACTAAAAGGAAAGAAATCAAACATAGGGCAAAAGTGAATTTGTGGAAGATCTAGGAATGTCTATAGCCAAATCTGTTCTCTTGGAGAAATAGCAAGGGAGCTTGTGTGGCTAGAAAGCAGCAAGTAAAGAAGAAAGAAAAAGTCACAGTCAGAGAGGAATCAGAAAGTCAGATGGTACACAGCTGTAAAGCATTGTAAGGGCCCAGTGGATGGCATGCAGGGAGCGACAGAACCAGCAAGACCACAGGCAAGTGGATAGGCCAGAGCCCGGGATCAGGCACAGAGATAATAAATATAAGTAGCAAGTCAGGTAAAGGTTGCTAATGGAACTGAAGGACTACTGGGCTCAAAAGAGGGGTTAAAGACAGAAAATAGAGATTTGCTTCAGGGTTAGGGTCCTACTTCAGCATTAGAATATGTACATACTTACCTAGCATGCATGAGTCCTTGAGTTCAATCTTTGGTACCTAGCCCCCCAAAATCCACTAAAGGAGGAAAACATAGTAACAGAAAAGATTCTGCCTCCTTGCCAAAAATATTCCACATATTCCAGGAAATGAAGGACAGGGACTAGAAAGTAAGTTATAATACATTTAAGTTCCCAGTTTCTCATTTGCATTGGCATTGACTTCAATTACTATAATTAAAAACAGCCTACAATGAAAAATGTATTAGCAATAAATTTTTATTATAAAGCCTTGTAACAGACTTAGAAACTTCCTTTTTAAAGATTATTCCATTGCAGGCACATTTGTCACCAAGTACCCATCTGTTCTGCATTTTGGTACTTGTTTGTGTCCTGTTTTGTTTCATTGGGAAATTTCTGGGAAGCTGTCAGAGGTGTAGTGATTATTGCTACTTTGATAGACATAAGGAATATGCTAGAAAAACTAATTTATTTCAATGTCTTCTTTGCTATGAAATTCTTTCAGTTTTCAAAGCAATTGAAAAATTACCATTTTCACGCATACTTGTTTTACACCTTCTTTGATTTATAATTTTCTCACCACCTATTTCTTTATCTTATACAACTTCACTTTCAATCAATTTTATCAAACCTGTTCTGACTAAAGTTTTCTCCTTTATCCAGATCCTTCCAGAACTCATCTTTGACATCTATGTGTATACTTTCCTTTTTGGATGCCACTCAAAGTTCATTTCCTATAGTAATACTCACATATAATCTAATGAGAAGTCAAGAACATTAATAAAGACAAAGACAGGGAAGACAAAATACATGTAAATGAGTATAGCCTAACTGCTGCAGAGGCTCAGTGAGGGTATGTTTTTACTTTAAATACAAGAAGAGACTTAGAAATCACTTAAAGCAATGCCAGATGACTCTAATAGATAAAATAATGAGATATGCACCAGTATGACTTCTGTTGCAACTGGTAGAACACAGCAACAATAAGGAAACATATTCGCCCACATCCTGTTAAGTCCTAACATTGCACAGGGATCCCAGAGCTACTCTTCTTTGCAGCAGTCCTAGCCACCTCACCTACCATGTGCAGTAGTCACTTCTGTGTATTAGCAAGATGGCTACAGTTGATTTATGACTGAATCTCCAAGTCCTATAAGTTGGAGTAGGAGAGTAATAAAAGGATAACCCTGTGTTTTACTCTAGTCACTTTTCAAAAGTAAAGTAACCAGACAAAATAAAGTTAAGATTTGTCCTATTCTATGACTTGCCCATTTTGAAAGGAATAATTGATAAGGAAAATGGGATTTCAAAAGGATGAAGCCTGATACTAAGGTAGAATAAGTGCTGGACAATGAAGGTTGAACAAACTGACCATAATAAAACATTAGATGCAGATCGAAGAGATACTTTTATTCTTATACTTGTCCTACTACAATTCTAAAAAGCTGCATCTTTTCTTGCTCTCTAATCATGGGCTCTACTGGTTTGTTTAGTTTTATTTTGTTTGCAAACTTTTCTGAATAGCACACATTTTTTTTTCTGTTTCCTTACAATTCTGTAAAAGTGGGCATGGTAATGGTAAGCATTGACTTTGGAGCCAGACTACATTGATTCAAATATAGGCCTTGTCACTTAAAAACTCTGCATGTCACTTTAGGCATATTATTTAATTTTGTTAATCATCTATGAGGGATGCCAACAAAATCTCTCTCATAGAGGGACAACCCACACGGGCCCCTCTCCTGCCCCTCTCGGACAGGAGCTTTCTTTCCCTCAATAAATATATTCTGCTCATAAGCTCCGGTTGTTCCTAAAATTCATTCTTTGGTTTTAGAGAACACGAACTTGTCCCAGGTACCTTTTAGGTTGGAAGATCAGTTTTTCTCTGTATCATTTTGGAGGTTCCCCACCAAGATCACTGGACAGAAGTATGAGTTTCCTTTTCTTTCATAAATTCTGGATTGGGACTTGCTTAGGTAACAAATTTTTATGCTTCTGATTTTGAAGTGTCTTGGCCCATTGCTTGTAATTGTTCATATTTTGCCTCTTACAGTTTTGCCTTACATAGTTCTACCAAAATTGCTTATGGTGGGAGAGGGGAGATAGCTCAATAGAGTAAGCGCTTGCCTGGCAAGCGCAAGGGCCTGAGTTCAATTCCTGGTTCCACCAAAAAAATAAATAAATAAATAAATAAAAAATAAAAATCTACCTCATAGTTCTTGTGAGAAATAAATAAGTTAAGGTATATGAAGTGTTCATAACAGTGCATGTTACATAATAAGTCCTCTGTGTGAACTATTATAAATAAGGGATATCCACTGTTGCCTTTCCAGCACCCCTTCTCTCTTCTTTTAATAAATGTTCCAACTGTTCCTTTAAAAAACCACAATTCTGGCATGCCATAGTCTTTTTTTCTTTTTTAAATGTGTGTGTGTGTGTGTGTGTGTGGCCAGCTCAGCCCACCAGGGGGCAGGGCTGGCTGGCATGTGGTGCTGGGGATTGAACCGCAGTCCCTGTGCTTTGCTAAGCTTGGTCTAAGTAGGTGCTTTAGACCACTGAGCCATCATCTCACCAGCCTCTAAAACTGGGGTTTTTTTTGTTTGTTTGTTTGTTTTTCGGATCTGGGGATTGAACTCAGGCCCTTGCACTTGCCAGGGAAGCGCTTATTCCACTGAGCCATCTCCCTGGCCTCATGCCATTCAGTCTTGACACAATTCTTAGTATAAACAGCTTCTAAATTTAGTTGGGCAAAATGTGGACAAATCTTACTGTTTTCCTCTAGAATCTTAATCTTAAACACAGAATTACTCAGATAGAAAACAGGTAAAATTCAGTCTCCCTGATGTCATCTTGAAGAGATGTTTCCTGAGCTCCTGTTCCCTAGATTCTTGGAAACATTTTGTCCCTTCCAAAATCTGATTAACAATTCTCCCAGTACCATTTAACACATTCTCTTTTTTGCTGAAAAAAAAATAAATAAATAAAAGCCAAAATTGATTTCTCTAACTATCATCTTAAATGATTAAGACTCCCTAAATTATAGCATGAACTAATTTTATTTTTGTCTTTCACTGTGTTCTTAAATCTTCAAAAGCCTACTCTACATAGATAACATAGAAAGTAACAGTGGCTCTGAAGTCAGTCTGGGATCATTTGTAACTCCCCTCACCTGTAAAATGAAGTAATAACACTACCGAATAGGGTTATTTGTAGTCATATGAGAGTCAGGTGGGAAAAGGAAACTGAGGAAGCCTTGACCACTTCTTCAATTGGAAATTGTGAGGTGGACATACATATTAACAACCCAGGGGGCTTGGGACATAGCTCAGTTGAATAAGCACTTGTCTGGCAAGTGCAAGGGCCTGAGTTCAATCCCAGGCTCCGCAGGACAAAAAAAAAAAAAAAAAAAATATGGGTGAGGAGATGGCTCAGTAGAGTAAGTGCTTCCCTGGCAAATGCAAGACCCTGAGTTCAATCCCCAGTTCGGCCAAAAAAAAAAAGGAAAGAAAAGAAATTTAGGACCAGCCAAACAGCACCTGCAAGCAGCCCCAGGGGGCTGGAAGCCATATCCCCAGGCCTGCTGTGCTGGCCCCGCCCCCAAGGCCTGCTGAAATGGCAATTGAGTCTAAGCATGGTGGTGAGAGCCTGTAATCTCAGCACTTGGAAGGCTGTAAACAGACAGATCACTATGGGTCCGATCTAGTAGTGAGACCCTGTACATCCTGTAGACCCTTCCCTAATTTACAGAAACGGAAAGAAAAGAAATTTATATCTGTAGTGATATGAGTCAGAAGTTTACTGTACTGAGGGAGCAAGGAACAAAGAACAGAGCCTAAGGAAACCTTGTAATTCCAGCAAGCTGGAGAAGTATGACAGTAATAGATTCCTGGAGGCAGTACCCTATCTGTTTTTGCTTCTTTACCTGGAAAGTTAACAACTAATGATATGTAAACTAGTTGGTGAATGCCAGAAGACAATGCAGACAGCAGGTTGTTTACACCAAATTACTTATGAACATTCCTTAGCTTGCTTGTAGACTTCAGTAAATGTGAGAAGTTTCCCTGGCTCAGGGCTCACTTTGAGAGACTAGCTATGCAGGCCCCACCCTGTACAGGAGAATCACTAGGAGTCCAACCTATATAGTGAGACCCTGTAGATCCTATACTAAATACAAAAAGAAAAAAAGAGACTAATCTCAGTGAGACCCCCCTGGCTGATTTCATCCAGCCTTGCTGCTGTCCTTTCCACGGTTCCAATCATTCTATAACATATATCACAATCCTACAAAAAGTAAATAAGGATACTCTGGTGTACCATTATGTTTGATGGATATGGTTCTTGCTAGGTTTACAATGTTTTCTTCTAAATGTTACCCACTATAAATTTTTCAACTAGACCAATTCTTCATTGTTTCCTTTCTATGGGGATACTAAGTATAGGATGAGAAGAAAAGGGTAGAAAGAGAAAAATGAGAGAAAAGAAATACATATCTTACTTGGCTTGTGCAAGACAACCTGGTGCAACCACATTCTGATTCTCCTCCTGGGTCTGGAGTGCAGTGAGCTCTACCATATTAACCATCACGTCATTTGTGTGGCCTGGAAGCTGTGGAAGCACCGAAATGATCTTCTCTACTAAGTTGTCTCCATGATGTCCAACTGCTCCTGAATAGGCAGGCAAGAAAATGTAAACACACAAACTGGGAGGAAAACTTAATCAGATAACTTCTTCATATTGTATCTTTTATCAAAAAGAACAAATATTTTCTGTTACACATATCAATAACACAAACCTAGTATTTTCTCCTTCATAAAACTAATAATATTCACAATTACCTACTCGATGTATGCTTCATGGATTGTACTTAACGCCATAAGAGCAAGTATTACTTCTGTTTACTATCATATCTCTAGCACCCAGCACAGCATCTACATGCAGCAAGCTAAATAAAATATCAGCATGTCATCAAATAAATATGGTCATAGGAAGATTTTATTCTAAAATTGTATTATTGTATTTTATAAAGAGTACAAAATAGTATTAAAACAAAAATTACAAGTGATGCATAATTTTACTTAACAAAAAAAAATTTCATTAAAGTTGAATTTAATTTTTATTTTTCACTGTTTTATTTTTTATTTTACAAAGACACTAAGACCCAGAATAGTAGATCTTCCATCGACTACAGCTTTACCTTTACAACAGCAGAGGCCCAGTTCATCTAGTTTACCCTGTATGGGCAATGCCTAGCAAGAAAACTGGCAGCTGATGGGTTCTCACTAAATATTTGTTGGATAAAGGCAAGAATAAGTGAACAACTGGTACAGTACTACCATGTGATTGATGTTTTCTATGTACCAAGCACTAATCAAGAAGTTTTACATGTATTACCTTTATTAATAATTAATTCAAAATTTAAGACTAATGGTAAACTCTAATCATTTTTCCATGAAACCAAGTTATTTCTCCAAAAGCCATTGCTGTTTGGAAGTCATCATTCCAAAAATGACTGGGATTTATAATAATCTGCTGTGTATAATCTAATCCATTTTCAATCAACTAACATTGATACCTAATGTCTCTCTTTGTTCATTTTTCCCATGTCATAGTAAGGGAATAGAATTAGGGACAAAAGACCATACCAAGAACCCAAAGGGGGCCGGGGAGATGGCTCAGTGGAATAAGCGCTTCCCTGGCAAGCGCAAGGGCCTG